TGAAAAGGGAAAAATAGAAGAAAGAGATGTTAGGGTTATATGGGTAATTTGGAGATTGTATAAAAATATTAAGGGAAAAAACATAAAAATGTGGTCAACTTAAAACAGCTTATAAGCTAAAAAAAAAAAGGCACCCCTATCCCAGCTTTTAACTTTTGGCTTAAAATAAGTTTTTTTTTAACTTAAAATAAGCTATTTTGAGTATTGCCAAACAGTTAAATAAGTCAAAAACTAGCTTTTAAGTCAGTTTGACCAGCTTTTTTTTAAGCCATGTTATCATGACATAGAACGGTTCAACCAGACAAGTAGAGATTGCAGATCAATTTGAGGAATGTGCTGTTGCAGAAATCAGCCTTGTTGATCTCCTATTAATTTCATGAAATCAATACAAGTTTACATTAAAAATAGTGAGCACCCAGGACACCCACAACCGTAAAATCCTGGCTGCCTTTCAGAAATAAAAACGTTGTTGCACTTCTCTTTTGTCAAATGTAGCACAAGACGTTGAATATATGTATGAATCCACACATCACATTTGGCTGTATACCTACAAGTTCTTGTAAGAAATTCTCACTAATTCATAAAAAACAAAAGGTTATAATCTCCTATAGATAAAAAATTTTGCACTATCGATGAAGCTTGCTTGCATGAAAAAGAACCTATCTATTTGCCCTTTATATAGTTTGTACTATGGATGAAGCTTGCTTGCAGTTTCAAACCCCGTCAGTGTCTCCTTTTTCCTGCACAAACTCCAGAGCATCTCGCAAGTACATTGGAAAACCCCTGATAACTATTGTTTCAAGATTGAGGATTGGTATAACCAAAGCTAAATGGATATCGAGGATTCATATAACTAGTCTCGACTAATTTGTATTTGTTAGAGAAATCTTGTGCAATCAACCGTATATAGATTTTTAAGAAATGAACAAAGATTTTCTTCTCCTGCTTTTACAATAAATTAAGCAACAGCCACAACCCAAAAAAACTCGACAACTCAGCAAATACCACTTTCTCTCACATCCAACGACTAGTTATTCAAACCTCCGGATCTTTATAGATATCATTTTCTCTTTACTTCAACACTACCAAACTATTTCAGTACCCATAAAGATTTTGTTTTCCCTTTCCATGACTCGTCATCACATAAATTAGCCTCCAAGTCACTAAAATCATCGTCAATAGATGAATTCGTAGTAATCTGGTGTGCTTTCAACCTGTTGTCGATCTTGAAATAAGAGTCTACTAGGTGTTCAAAGTAAATACCATTCGCATTGTCTTTTAGGATGTTTTTACTAACTTAATAGGCTTCGATATTTGTATAAATCAATCTCCATCTTTTACCATACTTTCTACACTTGCGCCAAAAAGTTATTGAATCAGATGCATATCCAAAAATCTCCGCCATCTTTTTGAAGATCGATTCGATGTGTCCCTATTAATTTAATCAATATAATATACCTAGGAATACTCACGCCACATGCTTGCGACCATGTTTTGGAGAGAATACTCACGCCACATGCTTCTATTTAACCAGTCAAACAGAGTATTTTTGGATGAGAAATTCCGGCAATAAGTCAATCATTTTTAGGTTTGTTTTCTATGGTGAATGATAATGTTAATTTCGATACAATTATAGGAATCCTATTTTATTAATTTCTCCTCCTTTTCTTTATTTGTCGTCCCTTCACTCTATTTTCCTTAGATTTATTAAAAGACAAAACTAAAGTCACTTAAGTGAGTCTCTTTTTATTAGCTCTCTTCGCTTATAATCGAACTAGTTTCCGAAACGTGCATTGCACGTTTACTTCATAAGGATGAATAAAATGATAAATAATTTTTGTTTTAAAAGATAAAATAAAGTAGCAAAAACAAAAATGGAGGCACACTATCTTATGATTAACTTTCTTAAAATGTCTTTTTTGTCTCATAAAAATGTTGAAATTAAATTAATATTTATACATTTCAAGAAGATAAAATGACATTAATTAGTAAAAGATGAATTCTCCTTCTCATTAAGTAGAAGGCAATTAAGTAATTCAAATTTATAAATAAAAAACTTATTAGAAGGAAATAACTAAGATTTAAAGTGCAATGATTGATATTTAAATTATGTAATTATACAAATAAAATATTAATATTTAATTAAATAAATTAGATTTTAATTTAATGGAGAGTCAAAATGACAATATTAATATTTTTACAATTAAAAGTTTGTTAAAATATATTTTAAATTTTTTTGTTAAAAAATTAATAGGAGCAATATTTGGTCAAAGGATAGAAGATCTTCTAACTTCTTAAGCATTTTGGTGTATCATTTTTTTGACTTTGGGATTTGGATCTCATGATAATTTTAATGAAAATTGTCGAAAAACTATAGATTTTATCCACAAGCACATATAAGAATGATTCTTTACAAATATTTAAAATTTAAAATGCATAAACGTAATTATTAATAATTTGAAATTAGAAAATCTTGTAGGCATTAATTGTTTTGCATGTCTTATACACTATTTTTATGATTGTATTTGTCTCATTTTCTAAAGCAAAAAACACAACCTTCAATCAAATATATTCTTAAAACAAAATTACAAATACAAAGATAAAGTATCATATATAGGAGCAAGTTTAACATAACGCAACCAACGAAAAATAGAAAAATTCTAAGACAATTTTTTTCCTGTTTTTTCTTGATAATGCAAATTGAAACAAAGTTTTAGTAATAAACATTCAACTTTTGACCATAAAAAATTAAAATATTTGGAAGACAAGTTAAAATGGAAGTGATATTTAACTACATAAATGGCGGGGTCTTACCATAGTTCCAATCTCGACAAATAAGTAAAAAAAAAATACATCAAGCTTCGATACTTTAGTAGAATCATACTATGCCTTGTAATCTTGACATGAATTTTCTTACCTTGAAATTTTCTTCACTTGATTAAAGCTTCTCTAGTCTTCCACACAAAAATTGTATCACATATAAATCTTCCTATAAAAATAATGTTAAAAGATTGTATTTATAGGAAAAAATATAACTTTGGAATATGAAGATTCACTTACAAAGTTGAAAGGTCAAGTGTTACAAAAATTTCAGACAAATATTAATTAAGAACATAAATTAATTTAGAAGATAAATCATATACATGTATCTATTTAAAGGGTAAATAATGCAAGAAAATAAATTAAATTAGATATTTTAATTAAGAATTATTCTAAAGAAGTGCAAAAGTCATTAACATTTCCATTAAAATAATGTAACTTAATATTTAAATTAAATAGTTAAATATTTTTATAATATTTTAATTTATAATAAGGGTAAAATCGTAATTCAACTTTTAACTTTTTTGTTCCCTCTTATAATAATATATGATTTATTCATGATTAGTGATTTTTTTTTCTTATTTACATGATTTTTTAATTCCTAAATTTAAGTGTATTGATTAGCTATGTTTAATCTTCCCTAGTTCAAATGTATTTTTAAATGAGCAAAAATGGGGGAAAATATATTTCTTTTTCCTAATTTATAATGAAAAAAAATATACAAATTTGTTAGATGAATAAGGATGAGTATAAACTAATGCAAAATTGTAAAGATACTCCTACAAATACAAATGTATATCAGTTTATCAGGTGAATAAGTACTAATCAACACCAATACAAATAAGGGCTTAACTATTACTTATTAATTCATAGTAGACAACAGAAATTACACTTTTTCAATTTATTTTTAGAAATATTATCAAGTATTTTCACATGTTATTAATATTTAAATAATACTATTTTAGATTAATTTAAGTCAAGTAAGAATTCTAAACAGTTCAAGTACTATTTTTATTATTTTCATTTAAATATTAATAATATGTGAAAATATTTAGTAATATTTCTAAAAATAAATTGATCGTGTAGTTTTATTGTCCACTATCAATGAATACTAGTTTATAAACAATTTATTAGATGAATCCGGACAATAAACAACAATCTCTTCATTTGCATCAAATTTGAAATTATTACATTAAAGACTGTATATTGTCTAAGTGTCTTCCATAATTATTAGACAACACATGCAATTGAAGCTTGTAGTCAAACCCATGAAGTGCTTCAGTCTGAGTTAGAACACCTTGAGAAAAATTCTGTTGGAGAGACTTCAAAATTTTAGTTATGCTTCTATGGTTGGCAAGTTAGTACCTCCACCCTATTTGCAATTTATGACAACAATATATCCAGTGAGATTCCACGAGTGGGGTCTAGGGAGGGTGTGAGGTAGAGAGATTGTTTCTGATAGACCCCCGAGGCTTGACAAATATTAGAGCTTAAGCTTTGACACTTAATGTATGAGTAAATAAAAAAAATGTTAAAAGTAGATGTATATCAAATCTTTCGATGACTTTGATCCACATCAGTAAACTATCTAATACGAAATTCATTCCCAAGCATCTGGGTGAAACATAGATACTCTGTAACAGCAAC